AGAAAGAAAGAAAGAAAGAAAGAAAGAAAGAAAGAAAGAAAGAAAGAAAGAAAGAAAGAAAGAAATGGTAGAGCAGAGACAGACAGGTAAGTCACATGAGAAAGCTGATTGACTTCAGTCTTAGAACTCTGCATACATAGAATTTTATTACTTCAACCAGGAAAAAAACCAACAGTAAAAACATTAGACTTGATGTTCACTTAACTTAGCTGTCCATAATGTAATATAAGTCATAACATCCTGAAACTTCTACTTTGATGGCTACCAAGTACCCACAGAGATATAATTATTCAAAGCTAAACACTAATGACAACATCAAAATGATCATGCTTGTTTCCAAGATAAAGTGCATGCTCTGTTGTTGCCTTGGTCATTGACAAGCTTACTAAGAGATTGTTTGAGTGTTCGATTGTTATTGAGGAAGTATCTCTCTTAGTAGGAAAATACAGCAGCCCCAGAAAGCAGGCCTGGGGGGTTAATCTGGCCTGGGGGGTTATTCTAGCCTAGGCCAGAGTAACCCCGGGTTTACTCTGGCCGGGGGGTGAATGGGGGGGTTATTCTAGCCTAGGCTAGAGTAACCCCGGGGTTACTCTGGCCGGGGGGGTGAATCTGGCCTGTTACAGCCGGCCAGATTAACCTGGGGTTACTCTAGCCTAGGCCAGAATAACCCCTCCAGGGTTATTCTAGGCTAGGCCAGAGTAACCCCGGGGTTACTCTGGCCGGGGGGTTAATCCGGCCTTACACCGGTCCTTCCAGGGGGCCCCCTGGCCTGCCCATCTTGGAGTCGCTGCGGGGGTCGTTCTCCAGGCCTTCCCTCTGTAGCCACACACAGGCAGAGGTTTTGGCTGTAGTGGGCGTGGCCAACTCTGAAGCTAGCCGGAACTCCGTTCCTGTACATTCCTGCCCCAAAATACCCCTGAGTTCACCTATACCTCTGTAACTTCCTATTGTATCTGCTCGTTTCATACTAAATTTTATGTCAGTCCTACTTTGCCCGACAACAATTGCTTGAACCCTCATCACACACTTGAGTGAGCCAATTACTCTTATTTTAAACAGACCTCTCCTTGTAGCATCTCTCCCCCACCTTCTTTCTGCTGTGAAGATAAAAGCAACAACCCAATGGATGTACAATTCAATGAATCTGATAAAGTGAGATCTAAGTCATGAAACCTTATGCTGGAATAATTTCTGTTAGTTTTTAAGATGCCACTGGATTCTTGTTTTGTTTTGCTGCAACAGACTAATATAGATAATTAATTATCATATGGCATTGTGTGTAGAATAGGCAGGAGATCCTAAGATTGTCTGGCATTCAAAAATTCTAGCTCTTTAGTGTTATGCACCACTAGGTGGCAAGATAGACTTGCTTTTAAGACAAGAGATGTTTCAGAGGTGGTTTGCCATTGCCTGCCTCTATGTCATGATCCTGGTATTCCTTGGAGGTCACCCTTCCAAATACTAGCCAAGGCCGACCCTGCTTAGCTTCCAAGATCTGACAGAATCAGGCTAGTCTGGGCTATCCAGGTCAGGGCACTAATATGGATACTTCTGGAATTAGCATGTTAACTTAATTAACTTAAATGGAATTAACTTAAATGAATAAACCAAGAACAGGAAAATTTCCAGTTCTAGAGAAAGCAGTAAGAGCAACCTAGGACACGGGCTTGAACTGTCTTGATCTCTCTGGACATACTTGAACTGTTTGGACATACTGTGAGATCCTGTCTGCTGCGGGCAGAGATCCAGATGTGACCCCATTTATCACTCTTCATGGCTTTCATGACCTACCACAGCATCCGTTGCAACAACCTTCCAACAGACCAATGCTCCTAAGAAGATTCTAGAGGACCACATTAAATGCTCCTGAGACCCACAGACTGAAATTTGTCCACCTCTGGCTGAGAAGGTCAGTATGAGTATCTTCAAAACTTTTCCACCCGGAGGAGGCTGATCAGCATAACTGGTCCAAAGTGAAAATGCTGGAAATTATAGTGGTCATCCACAAATTGCCTTTAGCTTTCCTGCCCACTTGAGGCTACTTTTGTTTACTCATCCCACTACAAACAATACAATGGCGTACACACACAAGAGTGGGATTAAATGGCTAAGAACTTCTGCACTACTTTTTCAATGCTAGCTGGCATTGTCTGTTATTACTTTTCTGGGAAAACTGCACAGTTTAACTGATCAGGTTCTAAGTGTTGTTGACCAGTATCAGTGCTAGTACACTGGAGCCATCCACCACAACAAGTAGTCATACACACAACAGAACTCACTTTAAATGTTTCTGCTTCATCCCCTACCAGGCCAGCAACAGCTGAAATAGGCAACACAGGACCAAAATAAGGGTCTTGGGCATTCGGACAGAAGAAAAAGGTATTTTGCTCATGCATTGTAGATCCGTCTTGAGCAGGGAGAGTGACTGGCCTGTAGCAATGAAAGAAACATTCCATTAGCAGAAGAAGATGACCTTTACAAATATACGTTGAAACTTGGAAAATATGTTTTCCAGGACAGGAAACAATAAGAATGTATTCATGGTCTTTTTAAATGCAAGTTTTTGCAATATGTGAGAATAGCATAGAAGCATTTCCTGTCCAGGAATATGGCTTGAGCAGTTGATATGAATAACAGCTCTCCAATCTGTGTATTTGTCCCAGAAAAGCAAAAGACATTCTTGGCAGAGAAATTAATCTTTCAGTGTCAGAATATGAAATGAACTTACTTACTTTGACTTCAAAAGGTGTTCATTATCACTTCTTTCAATACTCCACAGAGTAACAGAGGTCCCACTGTGCAAACACAACTGGTGCCAGCTCATGGGATTAAAACTCATCGCAGTCACATCTGCTCCTGGATGTGCCTGACTGCACAATAGGATTTTTTTCCTCCAGTCCCTAACCAAAGATTTTTAAAAATGCAGTTAACCTATTTATGTTGATAAGTTATATACCATCTCCCAGTAAGATCACACTACAATAAATAAATAATACAATGCAATTTATAAACAAAACAATGCCAACAAAGAGAGGCATCATATTGCAGAGATTAGGGTGTCAGAGTAGCATCTGGGAAACCATGTTCAAATCGCCACTGGGCAATGGAAGCTTGCTAGGTGACCTTGGGCCAGTCATTCTCCTCAGCCTAGCCTATTTCAGAGTGTTATTACGAGGATAAAATGGAGGAGGGGAGAGCAACATACATTGCCCTGAGCTCTTTGGAGGAAGGGTGGGATAAATATGTACCTAAAATAAACAAAGAGGGTATCTGCTGAAGACAATGAAAGAACAAATAACCAAAAGAAAGATCAACCTATCACATTCCTGATGCCTCCTGGAGCTGGTGGGCTTTAGACAGCTGTGACAGACAGTAAATGTGTAATGCTTTAACCTGATCTGAGAACCTTGAGTGACAAGCCATTCAAATGGAATTCAACAATTGAGACTGTCAGTTAGGAGTGGCCGTTAAGAACTAAGAGTTGACTGAGAAGGAAGGATAAGAGAGTGAGAGGATCAAGAAGGGTCCCCATTCAAGCCTGAGGGAAATAGCTCCTATAAAAAGGGGGTGATTCCTGTCAAGTGGTGAAGGTATATGAGAACTTGTGTGGATGTTCTTGCCTTCACCAACTTATGTGTCTGTGAGACAAAGAAGCTTTTGCTTGTTTATTGAAGCAGAAACTGCCAAGAAATCTCTCAAGTCTTGAAGACCTGTTGGTACAATTAAACAGCAATGTGTTTGTGACAAACTATCTTTTGTTTATATTTATGCAAAGTTACCTTATTCCTGTTGCCTGTTCACCTCCTAAGCCCTAAACCTGATACCTACCTGCCCATTTCTCCTCATAAATTAAACTGTTTATTAGTTTTTAATTACCATCAGTCTCTCCGGTGCCATTATCAAACAAAGACAAAAGAAGCCCTATATGGCCGGGGTCCAGCATACCTAAGGGACCGCCTTTCCTCATATGTTCCCTCGTGAGCACTACGGTCGGGGACGCAACATCTCCTGGTGATGCCAGGCCCCAAGGAGGCCAGGCTGGCCGCTACCAGGGCCAGGGCTTTTTCGGTGGTGGCTCCTAACTGTTGGAACGAGCTCCCGGAGGAGATCCGGGCCCTGCGGGACCTTGCACAGTTCCGCAGGGCCTGCAATACGGAGCTCTTCCACCAGGCGTTTTAGTAGGAGTCGCCACTACTGTACCATCACTACCGCACCATCATTACCTGGCCCTGGAAGAAAGAACATCAGTGCTACCTGGAACAGACGACGCTGAGCTGGTAGAGCAGCAGTAATATGCCATCTTGTGGAAGATCAACTTGGAACATCTAGAGCACTTATTATTAATAGTAATGTCATTATATTGTAGAATGATTTTAAATGGTTTTAAATATGTTTTATATGTTGGCTGATGCCAGATTGTAAGCTGCCCTGAGCCCACGCTGTGGGGAGGGCGGGCTATAAATTGAATTTATAAATAAATAAATAAACAAAATAATCAAATTAGTCGGTCCCTCAGAGCCCTAGACTAGGATAGCATATATTGATATACATTTAAACTACTGGTTGGGACAGACAGGGGGAAAAAAAGAAGGGGGGGAAAGGAACTGCCCAGCCAAGAAGATTAAGGGATCCTGGGGGAATTGTCATAACAGCTTTCTAATGAGCAGATACAGCTTCTGTGGGCCAAAATAGATGTGATGGCATCATCATGTCCTCCAATACACAATTTTAAAAATGCTGCAAAGGTCTGATTTTGACTGAGGCCACAGTGCAGCAGGCTGAGGTGCTCTTGCTCCCCCCACCAAACCTATTCAAGTGCCCAAACAGGCATGGGGGAACGCAGCCATTTCAATACTTGACAAGGGGTATTTGTGAGGGGAAACAAGCTGAGCCAAGCAGCTCCCTGTGATAATTACTAGTACACAAGGGCAGCTTGGCTTGCTACCTGGGTCATCTTAACTTCTCAATCAACCCCTGGAAGCCAAGCTACAGACCTACCTATAAACAATACAAAGGAATATGGCACTACCTGTAATAGGACAATGTATTTAACACTTACCATATTGAAAGAGAAAATTCTGGGATTGAGGAGTAACTGGCCAGGTAGGAGCCTGAATGACTGAATGCAAGCAAGGAATAGTCCAAGCTGGCTTGCCCTAGAATATAGAAAAGCAAGGATTTTAGATCCCAGGAGGCTTCATTCTACACAGCTGTTCTATTCTGTTCCTTCCCATACACAGTTGTGTTCTGTCTTTCCAGAGTAGTGAAGCCTCACTTTCTTTCAGCGGAGAGTTATGGCGGCTCTACAGGAAGATCAGTAGAATTTTTACATCCTGAGAAAGAATGAATAAGAAGCAGCAAAGCAACCATGCAATGCAGGCCCAATATCCAACAAAATCAGAAGCTTGACTATTCCTGCCTAGCCTTTTTCTAAGACAGGAACCTACAACCTTTGTACATCTCCAGTGGTTTTAACTTATTATTTATTTGTTTACATTATTTATAGCTCAACTTTCTCATAGGGACTCAAGGAGGATTATATGTAGCTACCCAGTACAATCATAAAAATGGAACATTCAATAACCAATGCATTAGGATTTTAGAAATCTGGAACCACCAGCAAGAACTGAAGCACAGCATTAAGTATTCACATGACATATAAAGCAGTACAGAAATTACATATATAGGATGCTATAATAAGCTAAGTATAGATCAGAGTCCTTGACCATTTATCCAAGCAAGTTTGTAAAACCATTTTGTGCAGAGCAAATCATTATTACCTGTACAGAAAAGCCCCAAAAGTTCAGTTTTGCACAGTCATGAAAGGCCAGGAAAAACTGTGAGCTATCTCACACTAACTCAGCTTAGAGGGAACACTGCTCCATAGGATATTCCTATGCCCATTTACCTGGAAATGTCCATCTAAGTATGAGTGGCTTCCCCCCCCCCCAAGTAAGTGTTCTTAGAATTGCAATCCTACAGAATCCTCACCTCCTCAAGCAGACCATTCCACAAGTCAGGAGCCACAACGGAGAAAGTTCGTGTGCGGGAAGTTGTTGATTTTGCCCATTTGCATTTTAGCACCTGCAGAAGCCCCTGCTGACTTGAGCGAAGTTGATGCGGAAGAACTTAGGGAGAGAGGCAGTCCCACAAATAAGAGGGGCCAAGGCCATGAAGCGCTTTGTATGTGATAGCCAATACCTTAAACTGAGCACAGTAACAAACACGTAGCCAATGGAGTGTCTGCAGAATGGGAATAATATGCACACTCCTTCAAGCTCCCATTAATAGTGGAGCCATGGCATTCTGGACCAGCTAGAGTTTGAGGGGAGACCAATGTACAATACATTACAGGAGGCTAGTCTTGATGTTATTGTGGCATGGATCCAGGTGGCCAGATCAACTATGGTTTTGAATGAATTCCTGGCACTAATAACCTATAGTCTTTCTTTCTAATCATCAGATCATTCCACAATATTACTGTATTTCAGGAGATGACACGGAAAAGCAGGAAATAAACAGTGGCTCAGTTTTATTTCAGAAATGATACATTCTCATCCCTTCTGTTGCTAACTCAGGCAATTGTGACACCACTTTGTAACAGGCCCTGTTCAGGGAAGTATACCTCCATAGCAATGTTCCCTCTAAGCTGTGGAGTCTTGTGAGCAAGATTTCTTTTGTGAGCTACTGGCATTAAAGTTGTGAGCGAGTGATTCAGCTACTGCATAAATTAGTTTGTTCTGGAGCCATCCTCCCTGAGCTAAGACAAAAACGTGTGAGCCGGAGGCTCAAAAACTGTGAGCTATCTCACACTAACTCAGCTTAGAGGGAACACTGCTCCATAGGATATTCCTATGCACATTTACTTGGAAATGTCCATCTAAGTATGAGTGGCTTTTCCCCCCAAGTAAGTGTTCTTAGAATTGCAATCCTACAGAATGTATTTTAGCCAAAAGGAATCCCACAAGCTGTCCTAACTAATAAGGCCAACTTACATTTGGGCATGTTACAACATTCTGTCCCAGTTTCATTACAAATCCATCAGACTAGAATCTACGTGTTTTCATGAGCTCAAGGACAGGCTCCCTATTTAAATGGGAAAGTGATGGGTGGGAGGGAGTCTTACCCACTGTTAAATTCTTCCTAGGAAGTGCATTCCACTGCAGTATTATCAGGTTTAGTAATCATGCTCTTTTTTTGCTATAGCAGATGAATACTTTTTTGTGGTTGTTTTCTTTGTCTATAACACCAATATATAAGCCTTTGTAGAGCATGCCTACTTCATCCTTGTTTATCTGTATAATACTTGTGAAGATAGTGTTATTTAAGGTGACACTGTTCGCAGGTAATTACTCTTATTTGAGTCTTGACTTTTATGGTATTTCTATCCCCCTTATTTTAGCAAATGTTATATACTAACCTAAATTTGATCTTCAGTATTTGTGCTAGTATAACTGGATGCTATTATTTATTTATGTATTATTTGTATTTATAGCCCGCCCATCCCGCAAGCGGGCCCAGGGCAGATAACATCATGTCCAGTTACACCTATCCAGTTACACTCCACTTAACTTAAAAAAAAAAAAAACTTTCTCAAAACCTTTTTCAGGTTTTTCTCAATATTAAGAGCAAAATTCCACATTGAAGACCCATAGGACAATGCCACCCAACAGCAATCTCTCAATCCCCAACCAGCCTCCAACATATTTGTAGGCAGCAATCCATGTTTCCTGGTCTCTATGGTATACCACACAGCCCCCCCCACCCCCCAACCTGCCATTTACTCCACAGGATTAGACAGATTAATGGAGGATAGGTATACCAATGGTCACTTAGCCATGGTGACTAAAGGAAGCCTCCATATTCTGAGGCAGCAAAGGTCTGGATACCAGTACTAGTGATAACATCATGGAAAGGCCTTGGCCTCTGTGCCTTCTAGGGCAACTGGATGGCAGCTGTGTGAAACAAAGTGCTGGACTAGATGGACAATTGGTCTGATCCAGCAAAGCTTTTTGCATATTTCCATGTACAGTTTTCCCAGCATTATTTTTAAACTGGTGTTATTACCAGGGCCAATGGAGAATTCCAAATGCCCCATGATATGTCCTTTTTATTTGCACAGTTGGCTGCATGGTTGGAGGAATGCTCTGAAGTGCATGAAGTGCTGCTCTTGTTCTGTTTTGCATCTGACAGAATTGTTGCTGGTCAAAACATAAAACTTTGCCATATTCCCACCTTTACTGTGGGGGGACTCACTCCTGGTTCTCACATCAGTGATTTTTACATTCATGAGATGACATGGATAACCTCTATAAATATGGAGCTCGGTCCACCCTTGCTCCTTGTCTAAGTGTTTTTATTCCCCAGGCCTTGCCAAACACTTCGTTTCCTCATAAGGGAATCATTCTTCTCATGGTACCTGGTCTTGGAGATACCACAAGCTTCCCCTGGGGGTTTCCATGGGAAAATAAGTGAGCTGTGGAGGTGGCTGAATGATATGCTTGGACCATCATTCCTTTCCTATGTATCCACCTGCCAAAAGGGTAGCTATTTGCAAAGGACCAACTGAACACCCATTTGCATGGATCAATGGAGTATGATAATTACAGGACTCCTACTGGACGCACCACAGTCCTTCCTATAACTGAGAGCCCTGTTTTGTATTTGCCTTCCATGTTCTGCTTTGGATGTGTGTGGTGGGACATGACAATGTCATGTGATGGAACCACTGTGTGCAGATTGGCTCTTATCATGTATGTAGCATTGCTGGCACATCAGTTCATGATAACAGATGTTAGCAGTGTTGCCATGTATTCTAGGACTGTCGCTATGTTCTCAGTTCCTTATATTAATAAGGATATTTTTGTCATTTCTCTGTTAGGAGAGCATAGTTGTTGTTGTTGTTCAGTCGCACAGTTGAGTCCGACTCTTCGCGACCCCATGGACCAGATCACGCCTGGCCTTCCTGTCTTCCGCCATCCTCTGAAGTTTGTTCAATTTCATGTTCGTTACATCTATGACACTTTCTAACCATCTCATCCTTTGACATCCCCGTCTTCTTTGACCTTCAATCTTTCCCAGCATCAGGGTCTTCTCCAGTGAGTGCTCCCTTCTCATTTGGTGGCCAAAGTATTTGAGCTTCAGTTTCATTATCTGGCCTTCCAGGGAACAGTCAGGGTTGATTTCTTTTAGGATTGACTGATTTGATCTTCTTGCAGTCCAAGGGACTCTCTTGAGAAGACTCTGCTGGAGAAGACTCTTGACAGCACCATAGTTCAAACGAATCTATTCTTCGGCACTCGGCCTTCCTTATAGTCCAACTCTCGCAGCCATACATGACTACTGGGAATACCATTGCTTTGACCATGCGGACTTTTGTTGGCAGGGTGATGTCTCTACTTTTTATCATGCTGTTTAGGTTCGCCATTGCTTTCCTCCCAAGGAGCAGGCGTCTTTTAATTTCATGGCTGCTGTCACAGTCTGCGGTGTTCTTGGATCCCAGGAACGTGATTTTTCCTTCTGTTTGCCAAGGAGTGATGGGGCCGGATGCTATGATCTTAGTTTTTTTGATGTTGAATTTCAAGCCAACTTTTGTGCTCTCCTCTTTCACCCTCAGCAAAAAGCTCTCTAGATCCTCTTCACTTTCTGCCATTAGAGTGGTATCGTCTGCATATCTGAGGTTGTTGATCTTTCCCCCAGCAATCTTAATTCCCACTTGTGATTCATCCAGGCCAGCATTTCGCATGATGTACTCTGCATATATATTAAATAAGCAAGGTGACAATATACATCCTTGTCGTACTCCTTTTCCTATGCTAAACCAATCAGTTGTTCCATATCCGGTTCTAACTGTCGCTTCTTGGCCCTTATACAGGTTTCTCAAGAGACATGTGAGGTGGTCTGGTACTCCCATCTCTTTAAGGACCTGCCATAGTTTGTTGTGATCCACACAGTCAAAGGCTTTAGCATAGTCAATGAAGCAGAAGTAGATATTTTTCTGGTACTCTCTTGCTTTCTCCATAATCCAGCGAATGTTGGCAATATGATCTCTCGTTCCTCTACCTCTTCGAAACCCAGCTTGTACTTCTGGCAGTTCTCTATCCACGTACTGTTGAAGCCTAGCTTGTAGGATCTTGAGCATGACCTTGCTAGCGTGTGATATGAGTGCAATTGTGCGATAGTTTGAACATTCCTTGGCATTGCCCTTCTTTGGGATTGGAATGTATACTGACCTTTTCCAATCCTGTGGCCACTGTTGCATTTTCCAAATTTGCTGGCAAACTGAGTGCAGCACTTTAACAGCATCATCTTTTAAGACTTTGAATAGCTCAGCTGGGATACCATCACCTCCACTAGCTTTGTTGTTAGTAATGCTTTCTAAGGCCCATTTAACTTCACATTCCAGGATGTCTGGCTCGAGGTCAGTGATTATACCGTCGTGGTTGTCAAGGACATCGAGGTCTTTCTTGTATAGTTCTTCTGTGTATTCTTGCCATCTTTTCCTAATCTCTTCTGCTTCTGTTAGGTCCCTACCGTTTTTATCCTTTATCATGGCCAGCTTTGCATGGAACGCTCCCTTGATTTCTCCAGTGTACTTGAAGAGATCTCTAGTCCTTCCCATTCTATTGTTTTCCTCTATTACTCTGCACTGTTCATTCAGGAAGGCCTCCTTATCTCTCCTTGCTGTTCTCTGGAAATCTGCATTCAGTTGGGTAAATCTTTCCTTTTTGCCTTTGCCTTTTGCTTTCCTTCTTTCCTCTGCTATTTGTAGAGAGCATAGGCAATATCCTAAAACTATGTTGGCATCAGTGGGACAGGGGTGTAGCATGTTCTTCAGATTGGCCTACCTCTGCATGTGAAAGCTGGTAACACAGAAAGTGTTCCATTCAGTAACCAGGAACAAGGTGGTTTAAACCTTAATCATTGAGGGTAGACCCACAAAGAATGTTTTAAAACAGTCCAACCTGGAAACTATCCAACCATGTATCATCATACCTAAGTGGCATTTATTCCTGATATTTCTGAAAACTACGGGAGTCTTATGGTTCCTTAAAAGCTAACAACTATTACTACTTTCATGGATGACAGCCCACTTTGTTAGACCCCCATCCCTCCTTGTTCCATGTTTATGGAGTTCCATACCACAAAACTAGCAGGCATCATGTTGTGTTGTTTCAGGGACTGGTGTTCCTTTACTTTGATCCCCTTGTACTCTTACCATGGCTTATTATTCTCAAGTCTCTCTATCTAACTTTATTTAAAGCTTTAATTTATGCAGGACAAACATCTGTGGGCTATTTAAGGAGTAAAGCAATTTAGGAATTTGTATACTCATCCTTTACTAGGTTGATTTTGAACATTTTCATGTCTTAACACTTTCACCAAACCCTCTAAAACACCTTTTTTCCAACATATATTGACAATCAGATTAAATATGGCTCAGGAAGGGCACCTTCAGATCTACCTTTTAATTTAGCCTGTTTTGTTAGTCCTAGAAAGGTGTAGACATAGATTGTAGGTTTCAGCTGCTGGTCAGAAAAAGCTATTATTCCTTGATTCCCATTCACTGCAAAGGCTCCTACACTTCCATTCTTGCACCGTAAGACTGCCCTCTGCTTCGTTTCAAAGTTGATAAAAATGATATAATTTCCACAAGGATAACAGACAGTCTTGTTGTTTACAAAGCCAAGTTTCCTGTTGGTGAATCCCTGCACCCACCTTGGGAGAAGAAAAAAAAGTTAGGATTTTTCATCAGAGGACCTGTTGGTATAAAATAAATGTTTCCACAGAGAAAGTATGTTTATCTGTCTATCCGATCCATATATATGAATATACAGAGACTGACAGAGAGATGGGAGAGTTATTTTTAATACTATATCTATTGCATTATTATACTTAATAGCAATAATGTATTACAGAAAATAATGAAAATGGTGGAGGAAAGTCCCAATAGGAGAACATGTGGGATTATTTTTCCTAAAAGCAAGCACTTTGTTCTAATCAACTTGGAGTCACATCAATCATTTTTAGAAATATACAAAACATATTAACCTCTTGAACAAATCAAAAAGAAGCCATGGTATATCTCACATGTACCCCAGGGAAAGAAAGAGCCAGCTCTCACATACATTTTTGTTTTCCATTTTTGGCAAGCTGAGGGATACATCCCTGAATCTATCTGCATCCATACAGAAAATGTTGTGTTAGAACAGGGGAGAGCCTCTGCTTTGCAAGCAGAAGGTCTCAGGTTCAATCCCTGGCATTGCCAGTGGAAAAGGACCAGGCAGTAGGTGACGTGAAAGGCCTCAGCCTGAGACTCTGGAGAGCCACTGCCAGTCTGAGCAGGTGACACTGACCTTGATGGACAGATGGATTCAGTATGGCAGCTTAATGTGTTCATGTGCAGAAGGACAGTGTCTTGTTGAGTGATACTAGGTTTGGACTGATCAAGGCAGAGACACAAAGCTGTGATCTTATATGGAGGAAGCCCAGCCAGTGGTGTTATATATGCAGGGTTGCCAACCACTAGGTGGCACTGGCAATTGGATCTCCCACTATTACAACTGATCTCCAGACAATCGATATCCGTTTTTCCGGGGGAAATGGCTGCTTTGGAAGGTGGACTCTGTGGCATACTACCATGCTGAGGCCCCTCCCCAAATCCCACCTTCCTCAGGCCCCACCCTCAAATTCCCAGGTATTACCCAACCCAGAGATGGCAACCCTATCTATAAGATGCGGGGTGGGTGGGGGGGAGGTGGAAGAGAACCATTAAGGGGATTCAGGTGGGAAATTTAAGATTAGGAAAAAAAAATCATTTAATATATGTTTGACCCTCCTGTACTACAAAGGCACAGGCGCCCGTGGCGCGTTGAGGAGCAGCAGTTTGGAAGATACTTTTCGGGAACAGTAAGCAAGAAGCATCCCAGCCACCCTCCTTCCCTCCGCACCTCACTTCCAGCTCAGCTCTGTGTGTAGCCGATGCCGGACGGCGAGAGCCTTTCGGGGGCTCCATTGCCTTGTAACATCGCCGGGTCTTCCTCCGGGTGTTTGAGGTTGTTTACATCAGTCTCTTAGCAACGCTCGATCGTTCTTCCGCTGGCTAAACAGGCTTTTCCTTCTCTTTTCTGCCCACTCGCTTCCGTTCACGTTCTCTGATTGCGTGCCCTAGATTGGCTATTGGCTCGAGCGGGGCGGGGGAGAAAGGAGGGTTTAATTAAAACGCCGAGGCCCTTCTTGAGGGGCGACTTGGGTCCTCGATTGCTAATTCGCACACAATAGGGCTTTGTAGGTCACAGTATCTTTTCCCCTACTATACTATAATAAAGCAAGGCCTGCGCATCTGCAGCCATTCCCACCGAGAGATCCGAGTCTTAAAGGTGCCACTGGACTCCAACTTTCTTCTACTGCTTCAGATCAACACGGCTGACTACCTGGATCTGCCTAACTAGTAGAGCGATCCTAAACAGAGTTTTGGCCTCCTAACCAGTGTTCCCTCTAAGGTGAGTTAGTGTGAGCTAGCTCACAGTTTTTTAACCTCTGGCTCACAGATTTTCGTCTTAGCTCAGGAAGGATGGCTCCAGAGCAAACTAATTTATGCAGCAGCCAAATCACTCGCTCACAACTTTAATGCCAGTTTGCTTACAAAGTAGGATTTTTGCTCACAAGACTCCACAGCTTAGAGGGAACATTGCACCTAACCCCACCGACTTCAATGGACGCAGAACTCTGCTAAGAATACTGCTGTAAAGTAAAAGTTATTTTAAAAAAATGAAATGTCAACCTCAGGCTATTAAATATTTATTCTATTTATTTAATTCATTTGTGCCCTGCGTTTCTCCCAGTGGGGACCCAAAGCAGCTGACATGGTTCTCCTCCATTTTATCCTCACAACAACTCTGTGAGGTAGGTTAGGGTAGTGATCAGTGCTCCCTCTAAGCTATGGAGTCTTGTGAGCAAAAATTCTACTTTGTGAACTACTGGCATTAAAGTGAGCGAGTGATTTGGCTACTGGATAAATTAGTTTGCTCTGGAGCCATCCTTCCTGAGCGAAGACAAAAATGTGTGAGCCAGAGGCTAAAAAACTGTGAGCTAGCTCACACTAACTCAGCCTAGAGGGAACACTGCTAGTGATGTGACTGGCCCAAGGTCACCCAGCAAGCACCCATGGCGTGAGTGGGAACAACACTCTTAACCACTACACCACACTGGCTCTCCAGTAATAAAATAGAAGTAGAATGATGATGATGATAAAATTACTGTTCCATCAACCTAACAGTTCTGAACAGCTGTGTGATGAGCCACAATAGAAAAGAATTTGGCTTTTGGCTTGAGTGACTTTTTGTTTGTATCTCTCAGAAGCTTGCCACTCTGACGAGGTAGAGGACAAACCTTCAAGAGGAATAATTAGCTTATTTTTGCAGTCTGAATGGATACAGCAATCAAGTACGATATGATCTATAATTTCTATTTTCCCACTGCCACACAGGCATAACCTTTCTGAATATGGTTGCTTTACGTAACACCCACTGGTAACTGCTGAGGGTGGTAGATTTAGACATCCAAGGTAAAAGCTCTTCTATATTTTGAAATAATTAAATTTTTCATATAATTCAACATCTTTTTGGGAGGTGGAATTTCAATGATAGCTGAGGAGCATACCCATCTGGACCTCAGAGCAATACTTAATTGAGTTCAATGCATTCTTTCACTGTATTGAAATTCTGTCCCAGCCTGAAGTTATTCAATGAAGAGAGATGGAAACTAATGCCACACATGTCTGATGCTAAACTGCCACTAGGGGATGTGATCGTGTAAGTAATTTAGCCTTCAGTCCTAAAACCACTTTTCTGGGAGTTAGCCCCATTATATAAAATTAACTTTATTCTGGGAAGGCCTGTTTAGGATTGTTCCCTAAAGCCTGGTCTACACATGCAACAGAATGAACTGGTGAGGTCTTAGTGTGGTAGAACAGACCGTGGAACTTCAGGTTGCAGGTGAGGATCATATTCAGTGCTCACCACATTAAAACAAAAACAAAAACCCTCACTGCAAATAGAAAGTAGTAATGCAGGGAGTGGTATAGGCAGGGTGACCAACTCTGGCATGGGGAATACCTGGAAATTTGGGAGGGGGGGTGGAACCTAGGGAGGGAGAGGTTTGGGGAGGGAACTCAGCAGGGTATAATACAGTGTCCACCTTCCAAAGCAGCCATTTTCTCCAGAGAAAGTGATCTTGGTCATCTGGAAATCAATTGTAATAGCAGGCAATCTCCAGGTGCTACCTGGAGGTTGGCAACCCTAGATACATGCCTGAACTTGATGTTATAGGGTTTTTCTTAAAACTTTCAGGGTGTACTTTTATATGAAGAAATGTAAAAAATGGAACACCCCCCTGCAGCCTAATCTACTTTTGCTGTATGTGTAGGTCACTCCAAAGGCCTGATTTAAATGTGATTCTTACAGGACAGAAGAACTTACTTGCATGACTTTGCACATTTACATTGTCTCTTCAAACTAGGCCTTCAGCTGCTATGTGTGCAATGTTATCACACTAGATAGAAATCTGTAGGGTGGAGACAGGTGTTGTGTAGGTATGCTAACATTCCATGCACGTGTAGTGGCCTAGTTTAAATAAAGACAACATCGTGCTAGTAAGTTCTCATGGACAACATCGTGCTAGTAAGTTCTCTTTGCCGATGGGAGAGTGGAATAATGGAAGTCTTGGTTTCAGCACAGATGGGAGAGCCTGGAGCTAGTTGGGAAAGTGAAAGACAAGCAACTGTGTACAAGGAGGCTGCAAGGGAAATGGGATTTAAGGTTTTCAAAAAGCAAAGGAAATGGGCTGGAGTAGAGGCTTCTGAGAAGGAGAGAGCTGCAGAATTTGAAAGCAGTTCTTCCACATATTGGCAGATGGCCTGTGACAGTAAGATTACTCTGCAGCAGAACAGGCCTTTAGGGACTAGTTCTTGAACCAGTAAACAATAAGAGAAGAAGAGATTGATTTATACCCCGCCCTTCACTACCCGAAGGAGTCTCAGAGCACCTTAAAATCCTTATCCCTTACCCTCCCGACAACAGACACCCCGTGAGGTAGGTGGGGCTGAGAAAGCTCTCCTGAGAACTCCCCTTGAGAGAATAGGTCTGAGAGAACTGTGACTGACCCAAGGTCACACCAGCAGCTGCATGTGGAGGAGTGAGGAATCAAATCCAGTTCTCCCAGATTAGAGTCTGCGCTCCTAACCACTACATCAAACTGGGTCTCAATAATTAGGCTTGTGTGGCTCCATATTATAGTCTATTGGAGATTATTGTGAAATATGCATGATACTGTTGCAGCATATTTGCAACTGTTAGGGCACCTGATGTTTTAAATCCTGCATTGTTGTGTGTCTCCACATCATGGTGTCATACAAGGACCAAAGAAACTCCATTTTGAACAGCTCAATAGGAAGAATCCACTGCTTGCCTGTAGAACAGCAAAGGGACATTCCACCGCATGGTATGTAAGATAATGAGCTCCACACCAAGTACTGTAATTTAGAAAGGTTGCTTAAAGTTAAAGATAATATTCTATCCTCCCTTTCCAATTTGACATGTTACAAAGACCTCTAGGGAGTTACCTGCATGGCCAGGTATTGATAAAAAGCAGAAGTCCCTAATGAGAGTATAGATAAACAGTTGAAGAAAATGTAACAGCTAAAGAATGCAAGAGATAAACCACAGATGGAAAGCTGAAGTGAAACACAGATGAAAAGTTCATGATGATAGCCATACATGGGATAGATAGGTGAGTGACATCTGCTCATGTCCAAAAGTTGTTTGTGGATGATTATAAAGTATGATTATACTTATTCTTTGGAATTCAGGCTTTTAATGCTTGGGTTCCCCTTTGTTTGAATAAAGTTTCCTGCTCACTTCAGAAGCCTCACTAGTTGTGTTTCTGATTGGGACAAACACGCCAGGCAACAGCCCATTTGGTTAACAATGGTGTGTATGTGTGTGCAAGAGTCCACAACACAGCATTCGAGTATCACTGAAACACTGGCCTGATTTGAGGCTGGCAGGGCAAAATAACTTCTATATGGGATTTTGCACAGCTCAGGACCTTGTTTGAACAAACGCAACCTGTGCAAGGCAACTATTAGTTTTGCATGTCAAGGACCCATAGCCCTAGCCTGTATTCTACTGATGAGCCAACTAAGCACGCAGAGCTGTTTTGCACAGGGAGCAGAAGTTTAAAAGAGATTTTGATTTCAGGGTTACTCTTTATGGGGAAGCTTTTTGTACCAGCAATCTCAAGTTTAACTGGGCCTAACACACATGCTGTAACAAAGACTTAAGACAATGCAAGGAGCTTCCATTGTAAGTAGGGCTGCCAGCTCTGGGTTGGGAAATTCCTGGAGATTTGGAGGGGGGACCCTGGGGAGGGGGGGGTTGTGGAGGGGGGGACCTCAGCAGGGTATAATGCCATGGAGCCCACCCTTCACAAGCAGCCCTTTTCTGTAGGGGGACTGATCTCTGTTGTCTGCAGACCAGTTGTAATACTGGGAGACCTCCAACCACCACCTGGACATGGGAGCCCTAGTTGTAAGTGAGCACAGTACACAAGCCACTACAACATTTCTGCTTTTGTTTATTTTTATTTATTTATGTTGTTTATAGTCTGCCTTTCTCACAGGGACTCAAGGTGGATTATACATAGTGAGCTGTTAGAATCACAAAAAATGAGGCCTTCAATAACCAATGCATTAGGATTTCAGAAGTCTGGAATCACCAGAAAGAACTGAAGGACAATGTACATTTTCACATGTTTAAAGGTAAAGGTAAAGGTTCCTTTGCTCGAAAGCCAGTCGAATCCGACTCTAGGATTGCGGTGCTCATCTCCGTTTCAAAGCCGAAGAGCCAGTACTGTCCAAAGACATTTCCGTGGTCATGTGACCAGCATGACTAAACACCAAGGCGCATGGAACGCTGTTACCTTCCCACTGAAGTGGTACCTACCCTGTTTTCCCGAAAATAAGACCTACCTCAAAAATAAGCCCTAGCAAGATTTCTATGCATTTGTGGTATAAGCCCTAGTGTGTCTTCTTGAGAAAAAATAAATATAAGACAGTGTCTTATTTTCGGGGAAACACAGTATTTATCTACTTGCAATTTCTTGCTTTCGAACTGCTAAGCTGGCAGGAGCTGGAACTAGAGACTGGAGCTCACTCCGTCATGCGGCACCCGGGTCTTGAACTGCTGAACTACCGACCTTCCACAGCCTACAGTTCAACGTCTTAACCACTTGAGCCACCACAGCTCCAGTGTTCACATGTTTACTTGGTGTTTATTTGGTGTGGAGATGGGAACCTTAAAATGCTATCCTAAATGAAGTTACAGCCTTCTAAGTAAATTAATGGCAATTGGCTCAAAAGGGTATAACTCTGTTTAGGATTGCATTGTTTGTTTACAGGTTCCTTAGTGACCCCCCCTTTTAGCATGAGTTAGTTTGCAAGAGCGTTAACTTAAACTTAAAGCTTTAAAACTTACACACACACAACTAGAATCTAATTCTACCTCACTTTCACCCCTCATGACATAGTAAATCTAAATAAATAGCCTATACAGCAAAAAAACCCATGAAACTGAACCATGATGGCATATAATCTGCCTCTTTTGAACCTTGTTAGTTTTATACATTATACATAGTATTTTCTTCCTTCCTTGTGAAATTAGATATCTGTCGCATGCAGGCAGAGCTTTATATTTTCTTTCTGCCTTGACCATAGCTCAAGCCAGGCTTGTGTCCCTTGTAACTGAGAGGACTTGTTAGGCAACAGCTTAGACCTCCTCCAATTACTCTTTTCTCCCAGGGGTCACCATGCCATGGAATGAAGGAAGCTGAGTTAAAAATAGCTTAGATAAATAATAAACTGGTAATAAAAAAAAACTGTGGAGCGCCATGCTGAGTATCGATATTGGACTGCTCCCAAACACAAGAACCAAGTGGTGAAAGTCTGAAGTGCCCTTTATGCACGGAAGCCTCCTTGAAGTCATGAAGTACAGGCACAGTAAAACTTCGTACCGTCTTCCATGCTCACTGCCAGGGCTATTTTTGGGCAGGAACGCACAGGAACGGAGTTCCGGCTGGCTCCCAAGTTGGCCACGCCCAGCAGGAACTCATTAGCATAATAGGCCACACCCAACAGCAGAAACTCATTAGCATTGGCTACATTAGGGGTGTGTGGCCTAACATGCAAAGGAGTTCCTGCTACAAAAAAGTCCTGGGTTTTGACAACAAACAAGGTAAACAGAATAACAAGCAAAAGGTGGGTGTGGCTGGATAACCACATTTCTGGTAACATGGGGGTGCGGTCTAATGTGCTAATGAGCTGTGCGGTCAGGGGTGTGGCCTAATATGCTAATGAGTCTCTGCTGTTGGGTGTGCACTATTATGCTAATGAGTTCCTGCTGGGCTTTTTCTACAAAAAGAGCCCTGCTCACTGCCAAGCATTTTAACTGCCCCCCTCTAAAATATATTGGTTCACACATCCTGCACTCCCACACCCCAGCCCCAAAGTCATCTTCAACCTCAGTGGTGTTACAGGCAAGGGGAAACAGACCCAAGGCTATAGCACACGATAGAATAGTTCCTCAAAGGCAACACTGCCTTGGACATTTTCTGATCTGAAGGTTCTGTCAATTTCCCCTTTTATTATTAATATTTCACATTATTTTTGCATTTAAAACAGGTTCCTGGTCTGAACACAAATGACACACTGAATTATGGTAGCTGTCAGCAGACTGGGCAGGGGTGGGCAGAACCACTTAACTACACTGGTAGTAGCAAACTTAAATGCATCTGGAAATGCAGTTTGATAACATTACTACAGGTTTGCAAGGACAAGTAGGGTTGCCAGCTACCAATAAGAGACTGGAGATCTCCTGGAATTACAACTGATGTCCAGACTACAGAGATCAATTCCACTGGAGAAAATGGCTGCTTTGGAGGGTGGGCTCTATGGAATTATTCCTAAGATTGCCAACTCCAGGTTGGTAAATTCCTGGAGATTTGGGGAGGTGGAGCCTGGGGAGGGCGGGTTTGGGGAGAGGAGAGAATTCAGGAGGAGGAGGAGGGAGGAGATTGGATTTATACCCCGCTCTTCACTACCCAAGGGAGTCTCAGAGCGGCTTACAGTCTCCTTTCCTTTCACCTCCCCCAACAGACACCCTGTGAGGTAGGTGGGGCTGAGAGAGCTCTGACAGAAACTGCTCTTTTTCCAGAACAGCTCTTATCAGAACTATGGCTTGCCCGAGGTCATCCAGCAGGTGCAAGTGGAGGAGTGGGGAATCAAACCCGGTTCTCCCAGATTAGAGTCCGCGCACTTAACCACTACACCAAACTGGTTCAGTGGGGTATAATGCCATAGAGCTCATCTGGAGATGAGCTGTAATTCCGGGCTCCATCTGAAGGTTGGCAACCCTCATTATGCCCCACTGAGGTCCCTCCCCAACCTCTCCCCTCTCCAGGCTTGACGGCCAAATCCCCAGAAATTTCCCAGCCCAGAACTGACAACCCTAACAGGACAGTAATATGTTAAAACAGTGATCTGTTTGTTTTTCTCTAATATTTTTAGAACCATCCTGGAGAGAGGTCCTTTTGCAATCAAAATTTATAACTAAAAGCACCCAAGAGGTGCATTTTTAAACATACCAAAAGCCACAAGGAATTATTGACCGCTGGGGAATTAGAAAAGCAAACAAGCCACTCCCCTCAAAGGTACAATTACAATATGAAGGTATGAGTCACTGCTGCTGCTGCTGCTGCTTCTGCATGAGAAATAAGTTTCTATTGTCCTGGCATCTGAGCCAAACATGGATCATACCTGAACTGAATGTGGGTGTTCCCAGATCTGCCAACTTCTCTTCTGTTGGCACTTTCTCCAGTACATTACCATTGCCCATTACAGTGATCCAAGAGCATGCTTGGTTGTGTTATTTCTTCTGCTCTTGATATATTGCTGTAAAACGTTAAGAGGAAAGTCAGGGGAGGATTCCAAAAGGGGGACAAAAAGCGTAAACTGGCCTGGAGGAACCACTTACAAAGATCCAGTGTCATTTTGGGCAGCAGAGAGGAGAAAGGCAGTACATTGCTTATCAGATGGCTCATCATATGGCTCGCATTGATTAAGAGTTGCCAGCCTCCAGGTGGCGCCTGGAGATCTCCTGTTATTACAACTGATCTACATACTACAAACATCACTTCTTCTAGAGAAAATGGCTGCTTTTGGAGGGTGCATTCTATGTCATTATTAAGGTTGCCAACTCCAGGTTGGGAAATGCCAAGAGATTTAGGGGTGGAGGAGCCTTGGCAGGGTATTATGCCATAGAGTCCACCCTCTGAAGCTGTCATTTTCTGCATGGGAGCTGATATCCGTAGTCTGAAGATAAATCATAATTCCAGATCCCCCTTGGAAGTTGGCAACCCCTGTCATACCCTGCTGAGTTCCATCCCCTTCCCAAATTATGCCTTCCCTAGACTCCACCCCCAAATCTCCAGGCCTTTCCCAACCCAGAGGTGGCAACCCTATTTTACATCGTGCAATCTGTTTCGGGCCTCAGTCAGAAAAGTGGACTATGACTGTCCACTGCAGCCCTTTTCAGAGACCTTACTTCAGGTTCCCCTGCTGTCTGAGGCTAGACAGGTGGCAGAAAAAGGGGACATACTAAAACTTTGGAACTCCCTCCCCAGGGAGATTCATCTGTCTCCCTATATTGTGGTTTTCTTCCAGCAGGTGAAGGTTTTTTTGTTGGAACGTTCCCCCCCCCTCCTGCCACTGCCGCTGCCGTTGCAGCTGCCGCCGACAGCAGCAGCAGCCATAACTTTTTAAAGCGCCCCTAACGAGAGCTGGGGGAGCCCGAATGACCTCTTGCATGTGATGTCCGAGAGGTGGAATTTGCCCACAGGCGGAGAGCTGGGGGAGCCCGAATGAGTCCAAGGCCACCACCCCGGGCTGAGGGAGGTGCGGGAACGTTTTGCCCCTCCCCCCCACGGCCGTTGCATCTGCCGCCAACGGCGGTGGCCATGACTTTTTAAAGAGCCGCTAACGAGAGCTGGGGGAGCCCGAATGACCTCTTGCATGTGATGTCCGAGAGGTGGAATTTGCCCACAGGCGAGAGGTGGAATTTGCCCCTACGAGTCCAAGGCCACCACCCCGGGCTGAGGGAGGTGCGGGAACGTTTTGCCCCTCCCCCCCACGGCCGTTGCATCTGCCGCCAACGGCGGTGGCCATGACTTTTTAAAGAGCCGCTAACGAGAGCTGGGGGAGCCAGAATGACCTCTCGCGTGTGATGTCCAAGAAGTGGAATTTCCCCACATGCGAGAGGTGGAATTTGCCCGTACGAGTCCAAGGCCACCACCCCGGGCTGAGGGAGGTGCGGGAACGTTTTGCCCCCTCCCCCCGTGGCTGTTGCAGCTGCCACCACCAGCGGCAGCGGTGATAACTTTTTAAAGAGCCCCTAATGAGAGCTGGGGGAGCCAGAGGGATCTCTTGCGTGTGATGTCCGAGAGGTGGAATTTGCCATATGAGTCCAAGGCCACCAACCCCGGGGCTCAGAGGCACGGGAAAGTTTCGCCCCTTCCCCCGCGGCCGTTGCAGCTGCTGCTGACAGCGGTGGTTGCCATGACTTTTAAAAGAGCCCCTAAAGAGAGCTGGGGGAGCCAGAATGACCTCTCGCGTGTGATGTCACATCACACGCGAGAGGTGGAATTTGCCCCTACGAGTCCAAGGCCACCACCCCAGGGCTCAGGGAGGCACGGGGACGTTTCGCCCCTCCCCCCTGCGGCCATTGCAGCTGCCGCCGCCAGCGGTGGCCATAACTTTTTAAAGAGCCCCTAACGAGAGCTGGAGCTGGGGAATGACCTCTGGGTAATATTGCCTTTGGGCAATCATGGATTCTCTGTTGGCAATTATGTCCCTATGAGCAATCATGGATTCTCTATTGGCAATTATGTACTCCATTATCCCCTATGGGCAAGCGTCCTCTCCATTAATCCTTATGGGCAGTCATGGATTCTCTATTGGCATTATGGATTCTCTATTGGCAATTGTGTACGCCATTATCCCCTATGGGCTAGCGACCTCTCCATTATTCCCTATGGGCAGCCATGGATTCTCTATTGGCAATTTTGGATTCTCTATTGGCAATTATGTACTGCACTATCCGCTCTGGGCAAGCCTACTCTCCATTATTCTCTATGAGCACTCATGTATTTCCTATGGGCAATTGCTGTCCTTCGTTTTAGTACGTTCCTTTTTTGTTTTGTTAGGCATACCTGCAATAATCTTTTTGGCCTACCTCCCTGGTGTTGGTGTTATGTGTGCTGATAAGTTTTTATTAAATTATTGTACATATACATATATACATATACTTGAGCTGCGGTGGCTCAAGTGGTTAAGATGCTGAACTGCAGGCTGTGAAAGGTCAGTAGTTCAGCAGTTCGAGACCTGAGTTGCCGCATGACGGAGTGAGCTCCCGTCTCTAGTTCCAGCTCCTGCCAGCTTAGCAGTTCGAAAGCAAGAAATTGCAAGTAGATAAATAGGTACCACCTCGGTGGGAAGGTAACAGCGTTCCGTGCGCCTTGGCGTTTAGTCATGCCGGCCACATGACCACGGAAACGTCTTCGGACAGCGCTGGTTCTTCGGCTTTGAAACGGAGATGAGCACCACAACCCTAGAGTCGGATTCGACTGGCTTTCGAGCAAGGGAACCTTTACCTTTTTTACATATACTGTATTTAAAAAAAATAAAATTAAAGGTTGAAATGTTTTCATGCTTTGATGTTCATTGCCTTGGGGACCCTATTTGCGTGGAAAGGTGGCACAGAAATGTTTTAAAGGATTAAAGGAGTAATAAATACATAACTGTTAGGTGGATTCTGGTTTGCTTTTGGATAGAGCTTCCAACCATGTGCCGTGACTGCAGCGTAACAGCACAAGCCTATCCAGGTTCTTACACCCGAGAACGTTCTACTGACTCGACGTAGACTTGATCTCCTCCTGTCCCGTATGTGCGGCTTTCCCTTTATTTGAGAGATGTCTCATAACGGAGGGGGAGGGGGACAGTGAAAGGGAGCCGCTGAGTCGCTACATGAGAAATAAGAGGGAGGAGCCAGGCTCTCTCGAGGATCTTGTGATCAAGCAGGCGAGGGCTTATTTGAGCAAAGTCCCCTTGTGGTCTCATTTGAGTCGCCTGCAGGCACGATGGCTGGGGAATTTGCGAGGAGTTTAGGGAAAGGTGAGAGGGCGTCGAGGGAGGGTTGGATTCGCCTTTTCTCCCCTCGGGCGCGGGGATCTGTCCGTGTGCTTATTTGTCTCTGCTGCCTCTTTTTCTTCGGACTGGCGCGCGGGTTGGTTACAGCGGCTGGAGGGGAAGCGTTTCCTTTGAGGCTGTCTTCGCCCCTGGGGCTGAATGACAGGCCTGGTTCCTCCGCCTCCACCATCCCGGGCAGTTTCTCCTGATAGTTGTCTTGGTTACTTGATTAATTCACATTCATGCTTTTTTGTATGTTGCTGGAATTTAGCTGGAAACCTTTGTGCCTAGTTGCTGTTGGGAGTCGTTTACTCGTGTAACTACCTCAGTATTTACTTAAAAAAAAATCCTACCCACTCTCCAAGGAGCTCAGGGTGATGCACATGGATTTTCTTCCTCCACTGCATTCTGACAACCGTCCTGTGAGGTAGGTTAGGCTAAGAGAAAGTGAGTTGCCCAAGGAAGATCGCACAGAGAGTGGGAATCTGAACTTGGGCCTCCCCTAGTCCCAGTTTGCTAATGTAACCACGTCACCTTACTGGGGGTTTCTGTAGTCTTAACTTCTGGAATTGGCACCCATGGAAAATTACAATGGGTAGGTTTCTGGCTAGGCCAGTTAACTTTCATGAATGCTTCTCCCATGTGTCCCCATGACATATGTTTATTCACACGTGGAAGAACAAAAGGAGCATATCTTTCAAAACATAAAATCAACGCTGACTTTAAGGGACTGTGTTGCCTAACATGCCCCATTTTATCTCGAGCCTTCCAAGGCTCTCCCCCTCCCTTATTCCTGTGTCCCCCAAAAGCATCTCTTTGGTTGCAAGGACAAGAATGCCTAAACTGATATTCTTCATATCTAGCTTCCTCCGTGGCCTTGAATCCTCATCATGTGTAGGCATAAATGTCGTGGTCCAGCAAGTTTCCCTGCTGGAGGAGGAGCCCTATACATGGATGTGGAGCAGGCATCTTGCATAAGGACTGTTTGTGCTACAAATTATTCTTGCTGTAGGCTGCTTCATGGTTTTGTCAGTCATCAAAAGGGGGAGGTGGACATGAGGAGAAAAGGGCTAATCATTTTGCCCTGAAAGTGTGTTTCTCTCAGACAGATTTGGTCTCAGGTGGGAAAACCTACAGCACTTGTAAAGTTCTTTTCTGGAACCAGGAGTAATTTGAGTCCTTTAAATTTCATCACCAGTTGTTTTTTAAAAGCAAAAAAAAAAAGGGGGGGGGTTCCTGAAAATATATTGGGTTTAAGCTCCAACCTCACACTGCTTATGTGGTGTACAGTTGTGTCTAGTTTGGGAATGTACTTATAATGGCAACTTGGCTTTGGGGAGTCTGTGGAGCAAAGTTGCCTGTTCCTAGTCTGCAGTCTTATGTGAGCAGAGGTGCAAGGGAAAAAAGCTCTCTCCCATAATTGCAGACCACTGGAAAGTGAGTGCTGCAAGTCTAAAGCTTCTTCTTTTAAGTGTTTCTTACACCTAATGTGCAGACAGTGTTATGCTCCAATGCACAGATGAGTTCTGTTGCAGACATGCCCTGTTAGGACTAAGGACACTCTGGTTAAACCTGTGCCTGATTACATGAACCTCCTGGAAACTTTTAGACCATCCAAAGGAGAGGTGAGATGGTCATTACAAACATGTTCTCTGACAGAAAAATATAACCATTTCTAAGTTTTAATAAGGCAAGGAATGTAAGGGAAATATGCAAGTATGGTCAAGTGTATGTAGGGATAGTTAAAAGTATAAAAATGTCTCTATCCCAAAATAAAGTTTCTTCTCCCCCTCTCCCACTTGAAAGGGAGACAAAAACATAGCCTTGACTAGTGTGCTCTTGGGCATGTCCCTTCGTTCAAACAAGAGTCTCAAAATGCACAAAGCTTAAACTCACAAGTAGATGTCTTCCCAGAAAGGAATATAAAACCAGTGCTGATAATTAGGCCTGGATCCTAGGTGCAGACACAGAATTTTGTATCACGGGTATTATTAGTTTCACTGAAATTGTCACGAGCTGGGGAAAAAATGCATCAAAGTTCACACTGGAAAATTCTGGTGGAGGCCTATCCATCACCATTCTACTGAATGCATAAGAATTACTTTGAAGTAAGTAGCTTAGAATGGCAATGTATGCTTGGCAGCCTTTCCCTTCCTAAGTTACGCAAAGAAGCTTTTTCTACGACATGACCCCTGCGTAAAATACAAAGCACTGTGAGATAGAAACAAGAACAACTGTTTTGAGAAGGCTTCCCATTTTCTCAGCTGCCCACTCTAGGTCATCTTTTGGGTTCAGTGAAAAGCTGTCATTCTTGCCGATTCTGACCAGAATGACTTAGTTCTGTTTGTCTTCCAGGAAGTGCAGCTCCTGGGCCTGTGCCAGAGGGAATGATCCGTCTCTACAGTATGCGCTACTGTCCCTTTGCACAGAGGACACGGCTAGTCCTAAAGGCCAAAGGAATTGAGTAAGATTATATACCTCTCTAATTTCAGTAGGTTGTAATGTCCTGTGCTATGACTCTGTATACCAAACCTTTTGTTATAAAACTGGTAGATGATCACTGTGTATCAGACTTTATGGAGATAGTGTTCAAGCTGGCACTGTATGTATCTGTTCTTAAAGTTACATTATGTTGGCATTCTCTCAGCTTTGCTGGTCTAGTAGAATTGACTGGTACTGTTAAATAGTGGTGGGCATTTCTGTAATTTTGTTTCAGATGTCCAAAGTACTTCATGTGTATTATCTAAGGAGTGTCGAATTCCTTTGTTATGAGGGTCGGATCTTACATAAATGAGACCTTGTTGGGCCAGTCCATGTGTGTCATATGTAATGTAATGCCAGGTAGTGGAGATATAAACTTTATAAAGGACACAGACGCAATTAAAGATTTTTTAAAACTTCAAATTAAACATGCTTAAAACAGTAGCACTCCTGCAGTATTTTGTTTATTTAACAGTCCCTAATAACTGACACCTTTTACTCTGAATTATTGCATCAAAATGTTTGTGCTGTAGTAATCTTGAGTATGCTGTTCAGATGTGTATCTGTAAGCTGCAAACCTACTTTTGATTTATTGACATTCATTACCGAAATCCCATGTTCAGTGTTTTGAGCCTAGGATCCAGGGGAAATATGAAATGGCTGAGCATTGCAAGCTTTTGTACATAAATTGCTTCATATGCTGATCAAGAACATGAGAAGGCATCCTGACCCACACTAAGGGCTATGTGTTTATCTGCAAAACTGTAGTTTTCCCCAGAGAAATAACTACAACTCCTATGAGGCAGTGCAAGAATAGAGCGATAGCAATATATAGTGGTCAGTATCAGCCTACTATCTGGGAAGTCTTACATTCAAAATCCCTAGTCTACAAAGGAAATATGCTGGGTGAACTTGGTCTGAACACACACTCTCAGTCTAATCCACCTCACTGGCTTGTTATTCCTCATCTAAAATAGTTCACATGACTTTCCTACTGAGATCATGAGGGCATGAATACAGCGATAAAGGGGGAAGGAACCCAATTGCACCCAGGATAGCCCTGACATAACGATCCCAAAAGAACACAAAGTGTAGCAAGGTACACAAAAGCTCATACCTTGAATAAAACTTTGTTGGTCTTAAAAGTGCTTTGTATTTCTCCCATGTGATTGAGGCAGCTGAGCAAAGCAAGGCAGGAGGAAGGGGAGGAGCCTCAGCCAATGAAGGGGAAGAAAGGCTTGCCTTTGTCTCTTGTGTGATTGAGGCAGCCTGGCCTGGAAGCAAGCTGTGGCTCATTTCCTCCCTCCCCTGGGGGGGAGGAGGGGGAGGAGGTTCAGCCAGTGCAGGGAACAGAAGCTTGCCTATCTATCTTTCCTGTGCGATCAAAAGAGTCTGGTAAAGCAAGCTGCAACACAGCAGCAGCAGAACTGGAGAAAGAAGCAGGAGACAGCCAGTTCCTTGTGGGCTGGATAGGAGCCCTCTGAGGGCCTGGTCTGGCCCGTGGGCTGCATGTTTGACACCCGTGCTTTACACTGCCATAATCTTACCCTGGTTTTGGAGAAATGTTCCTCGTATTTGCAGTGCAAATCCATTCATGAGTGTATTTTTTTGCTTACCTCCATAGTCTTGAGACACTGCCTAACGTTCTTGAAGGACTAAACATAATTCTGACTGAATTCCTCTATTGAGCATTTGAATGCAGGATTTATTTTAGATTTCAAATCAAGTTTACAAAACAGCAAAAAAGCTTGCAATACTCTTAGCAGCAAAACAGCATATAACATTGTGTGTAACATCCATCTTACAACAAATTATATGGGACTTCTGTCACACTTCTCAGCATGTACTGATGCTGTGGTAACTCTGCCTTCTGTTATGGTGAGTGTAACTTGAGGTTTTCTATACTATCTCACTTTGAAAAGGTGGTTGTATAGGCAGTACAGAATGGGACTAAAGTACAGCTATCTTCTTGGAATTTGATTATCAGAAAAACTACATATAGCACTCAAATTTCTTAGCACTGATTTCTGGAAGGAAAGTTTTCTTCCCAGCTTAGTGCATTTTGAAGAAAACTGTACAAACCCTGTAATGGTATCTATTTTTGCATTGCTTCTGTTGCTATGGTGTACAAAGGCCATGTTTAACTTTAGTACTGTTTGTTTAGGAGAAGTTTAAAAAAAACTGTAAAAGAATATGCATATTTTCATTTGCTCAGTTACCTGAAGTAGCATATTCTGTAGCAGTGAGTCTCATGGCAGCAGCTTTGTTGCCCCAAGGGCCCCCTCATTCTAAGACACAAAAATCTTGGAGACCTCTCCAAAAGCCAATTCTGAGAATGAACTTCTACCCACCCCTTCCAAAGACAGTCCATATTTGGTGGAGGCAGGTAGTGGCATACTTAGCCTATTTGGCGCCCGGGGCGGATAATTTTTTAACACCCCCCCATCTCTATTTATTTATTTTTTGCCATCAAGTCACAGCTGACTTATGGAGATCCTACAGGGTTTTCAGGGCAAGAGACATTTGGAGGCGGTTTGTCATTGCCCGCCTCTGCACTGGCCCTGCTAAGCTTCTGAGATCTGACCAGGTCTGGGCCCCTCCTCTATATGACAAAATAATTTTCAGTAATAATCATGAAATAAAATGAATAATAATAATGGCCTGAAAATAGATTCAGATGGCTAGCCGTGTCCATCTGAAGCAGCAGAACAAAGTTTGGTCTTAAAGATGCCACTGGACCCAGTGGTATTTGAACTGGTAGAGATGGACTGGTTACATTCCAGGTTACCCCTCTGTTTACTGGACTGTGGTACAAGTAGTATATTTAATTTTTTAAAAGTGTGTATAATCTATCCAGTGAGTGTTCTAGAATCAATATTAATGTGATAATTGGCAACTTTGCTTTTGTATATGCAGTCCCATGGGATGGGCCTTAATAGGGATTGCAATAAAATAAAGCCAATAATATTTTGTGAAGATGTTATAAACTTTGTTAACCTGGTTACATTTGATTTGTATAATCTGGTCCTCTGCAATGTGATGGAAATAGAGATCTCCTCCCAAGTTCTTCTCGGGTTGGACAAACAGTGAAACAAACATGTCTGCCTAGCATCATTTTGTGTTAAAGGAATCCTGTCCAACATACATTTGTAGGTTTCCTTCTCTTAATGGTATGTCTTGCAGTGGCTATTAGGTTAAACTTGCGCTTGTTAAACTTTTTTTGTGTGAGCACTTCTACCGTAAGTTGGTTGGTGGCGCATAGAGCACAAAGTTGAAATTAGGATCTAGACACCCTCAATTTCCTAGGGTATGGGTTAGATTTCTATAACTGCACAGTTTGGTGTAGTGGTTAGGAGCACGGACTGTAATCTGGGAGAACCGGCTTTGATTCCCCACTCCTCCACATGCAGCTGTTGGTATGACCTTGGGTCAGTCATAAGTTCTTTCAGAGCTGTTCTCTCAAGGACAGTTGTGGCGAGAGCTCTCTCAGCCCCCTACCTGACAGGGTGTCTGTTGTGGGGAGGGGAAGGGAAAGGAAAGAGATTGTAAGCCCCCCTGAGACACCTTTGGGTAGTGAAGGTGGGGTATAAATCCAATCTCTTCTTCTGGAAATTGTTATTGGGTATCATGAAAACATGGGTGACTTTATGGTTGGTTTAACTACGAGCAGAAGGCTGACAATAATAATGTTTCCTTGTTTCATGTCATATCTTGTAGCCATGAAATCATTAATATCAACCTGAAAAACAAGCCAGATTGGCTTTTTCAGAAAAACCCATTTGGACTAGTACCTTTGCTGGAGACAAGCAAAGGTCAGCTGATCTACGAATCTCCAATCACTTGTGAGTATTTGGATGAAGCATATCCAGAGAAGAAGTTGTATCCTGAAGACCCCTATGAGAAGGCTTATCAGAAGATGCTCTTGGAATTCTTCTCCCAGGTGTGTGCAGAATGAGGATGGGTGAAGTTTTGCTTGTTTCAAAATCTGTCTTCGGAAAACCAAACTCTTTACCTGAAAAACCAAATTTTCCAAAGCACATCTCTTCCCAACCCAGCTTAACATGTGCTGGTGCTAGCAGTGGCTGGCCAGTCAAGAGGTGGACAGGAAGAGATTCCCTTGTCCGGTGTTTTTGTGCAAACTGTGAAATTTACCCAGGCTCCATAAGGACTACCTTCCCTAGGGTGCCCTTTGCCACAGCGCCTTACAGGCTGATGAAATTTTATCCAAGATATCAGAGGTGGAGTTGGCAAGGCATGGAAGGGAAATGAATTTCTGCCCTTCTGCCTGGCTGACCTACATTTACCCTGGTTTCAGCAGCAGCCACAGCAAATTGTGTAAGGACAGAGGGAGGAAGGGGCATTCTTCTCCGGTTTGGATAGACAATACAGGCCATGTAGAAGGTCAGAGCTGTAATGCTGAGTGAAGGCAAGTGTAATGAGTGGCCAAAAGCTCATATTCCAAGTTCATGAAATACTAGTTTTGGAAGCATCTCTAGTATTCAGTGTTACAAGAAATATATTTCAGTATATAAGCCTACAGATGCAGCAGAGTATCTACAGACAACCACAGAAATTTGTTTAGTGGTTCTGCTATCCAATGTTATCCTTCATGTGGTTTCTCCAAGAAAAAATAGAGTTCTAAAAAGAAAATTTTAAATTATAGAAGGAAATTAATGGAAACCATTATTAAGGAAAGAATTAGTAGGCACATAGATGAACAAAACCTATTGAGGCAGACTCAGCATGGGTTCTGTAAGGGAAGATCTTGTCTCACTAACCTGTTAATGTTCTTTGAGGGGGTGAACAAACATATGGACAAGGGGGATCCAATAGATATTGTTTACCTTGACTTCCAGAAAGCTTTTGATAAAGTTCCTCATCAAAGGCTCCTAAGTAAGCTCAAAAATCATGGGATAAAAGGACAAGTCCTTTTATGGATCAAAAACTGGCTAATTAATAGAAAACAGAGAGTGAGTATAAATGGGCAATTTTCTCAGTGGAGGGACGTAAGCAGTGGGGTACCGCAGGGATCAGTACTTGGTCCACTGCTTTTTAACTTGTTCATTAATGATTTGGACTTGGGACTAAATTTGCGGATGATACAAAGTTGTTCAGGGTGGTGTAAACCAGTGAGGATTATGAGGCACTCCAAAGGGATCTGTCAAGGGTGGGCGAGTGGGCGTCAACATGGCAAATGGGGTTCAATGTGGCCAAGTGCAAGGTGATGCACATTGGAGCCAAAAATCCTAACTATAAATACACATTGACGGGGTCTGAACTGGCAGAGACTGATCAAGAGAGAGATCTTGGAGTCGTAGTAGATAACTCACTGAAAATGTCGAGACAGTGTGTGACTGCAATAAAGAAGGCCAATGCTATGCTGGGGATTATTAGGAAGAGTATTGTAAACAGATCAGCCAATATCATAATGCCGCTATATAAATCAATGGTGCGACCTCATCTGGAATACTGTGTGCAATTCTGGTCACCACACCTTAAAAAGGATATTATAGCTTTGGAAAAAGTGCAGAAAAGGGCAACTCGAATGATAAAAGGGTTGGAACACTTTCCCTATGAGGAAAGGTTAAGGCGCTTAGGGCTCTTTAGCTTGGAGAAAAGACGACTGAGGGGTGACATGATCGAGGTTTATAAGATTATGCATGGGAAAGAGCAGGTAGAGAAAGAGGTACTTTTCTCCCTTTCTCACAATACAAGAACCCGTGGGCACTCCATGAAATTGCTGAGCGGTCGGGTTAGAACGGATAAAAGGAAGTACTTCTTCACCCAAAGAGTGATTAACACTTGGAATTCACTGCCACAGGAAGTGGTGGCAGCTACAAGCATGGACGGCTTCAAAAGGGAATTAGATAAGCATATGGAGCAGAGGTCCATCAGTGGCTATTAGCCACAAGGTATAGATAGGGGCTCTGGGGCAAGTGATGCTCTGTCTTCTTGGTGCTTGGGGGGGTCAACAGTGGGAGGGCTTCTAATGTCCTGGCCCCACTGGTGGACCTCCTGATGGCACTGGTATTTCTGGCCACTGTGTGACACAGAGTGTAGGACTGGATGGGCCTTTGGCCTGATCCAACATTGGCGTCTCTTATCTTCTTATGTTCTTATGTCTTAAAATGCCCAAAGGGAATGTGATTCATAGTGTTTCTCTTTGAGCTATAAATTACTAGGAAATGGATGCTGCAATCAATTATGTTTCTTTTGTCATCAGCTTCTAAGGCACCTTATATAAGTTTATGGCTAGAGATAGTGGTCCTATACTAATAGACAGGGAATGCTTATGGATAGAGGAAATAAATTGCAAAGATCTTCAGGTTTGCTAGGATGAGGGACAGAGTAGGAATGCATAATGTACTCCAACAGCATAAGGTGGCAGTTGGCCACCATATAATCTCCTATAGTATGTGTTCTAGTACAAGTATGTATGTTGGAGACAGAAGGACTGCTGTCTGTTGTACTGTCATGTAAGGGATGAACCTCTCTGTAAGGGAAGCATTTTTTAAAAATGGAACAAAAAAGTCTCTTTGGATATGCCAAAGCAACTAATTAACCACCAAATCACATAACTATATTGAGACTAGGAGAAAGGCCCGTTGTGAAAATGAATGCGACGAGCTGTAGGAAGAGGGCCTGGGTAAGTCCGATTCGTGGCCAGCAGCACTGGCTCAGGAAAGCGCCACGCGGGGGTTGCGCAGGGAAGGCTGCCCCCCCATCGACCGCAACAACCCCCCCCCCATCGACTGCAGCAGCCTCCGCCCTCGATGGCTTCTCCTCCCTCCTGGGCGCCCGCCCGCAAAACTGAGGGGGGCTGCCTGTACTCGCGCGCCCCATCTCCTCCCAAAGAAGCGCTCCCTTCCTGCTGCAAGCGCCGGCTGACCGACCCGATGGCCCAGTGGGAGGAGGCTGGCAGCCGGCCAGGCCCTCGCCTCAGAGGCGGAACAGCTCCACCGGCAGACGCTGCCACCGGCGGGCTCCTCCGCTGTAGCTGGCTGCCTGCCTACCAGGCAGCCCTTGCAGGGCACAGCCAGGCGGGCTCGCGGCTGCTCAGCAGCCACAATCTGGCCTTGGAAGTTGCCTGGGGGGGGGGAACTCTGCAACCCCCAGCCCCGGAGAGCGCCCCAGAGGCAGGCCAGCACCAGTGAGGGGGAGAACAGACACCGGGGCCCTCCCGGAGTGGACCCGCATTTACCAGCCAGGTGCCACTGCTGCTGCTCAGATCTGTCTTCAGGCTACCGGGCTTCCCTCCCTGAGCCCAGTCAGGCCGCTCCGCGAGGCCGGGGGCAGCACAGAGCATCCTGGTGGGGCCCTCCTCCCCTCTCAAAAAAGGGCCCGCGGGCCTCCCTGGGCCAGGCTACACCAGCCCAGGGAAGTGCAGCGCAGCCCTTAACCAACTCCCAAAGGCCAGTCTGGGCGGCGCAGGGGAAGCCCGGCGAGGCTCTCCCCCCCTCCTGAAGAAGGGCCCATGGCCTCCCTGGGGCAGGCTGCACCGGGCCAGGGAAGTGCTGTGTGGTCGTTTCCCCCCTCCCCGAGGCCTGTCGGGCCGGCCCAGCCAGGCCAGTGGGCCAGGGAAGCCCATCACTCCCCCCCAGCAGCTCCTCTCCTAAATGAGCAGAGCGGGCCGAAGTGTCCGTCGTCTGAGGGAGTCAGGAACAGTGTGAGGCAAATTTTCGCAGGTGCTGCTTGTGTGGGTGGGACTGAGTCTACGGAGTCAATGACCTTCTGACATTCAGAGTGGCAGTTCAAGCAGCTAACTGATTTTGCCACGCATCGAATCTTGCCACCCCCTGGCTTTTAATAATAAGGAAGGATAGCTCTTCTCTTCAGTGCCTATTTTCTATAGGTTACAGTCCTCTGGCTGAGAAGTCAGAAGTTTGTTTATTCTAGGTGTCACATGAAACCTATGTATCTTAATCAAAGATCAGTCATGTTTTATCTTGTAAGACTGTTATTTAAAATCAATCTAATCATTCTTGTAATGAGTAAATATGATAGAATCACAATGATACAAAGTATACTTGTATATTTGAATGAAACAAAAAACAGAAATACATAAATATCACCCCTTATCCTTTTTCCTTTCCAAAGATTAAAAGATAAAATACAGTTTTTGAGATTTTCTCTAAATTGATTTCAGAAAGATTATGTCAGGGGCAGCCAAACTTGCTTAATGTAAGAGCCACATAGAATAAACGTCAGATGTTTGAGAGCCACAAGACATGAACAAATATTACATGTTTTAACTGGGAAATATGCAGATTTACTTTTTATTAACATTAAATGAGGCTGCCAAAAATAATATCAAAAGTGGTAAAAGCAGATATTGACAATGGTATTTATTTGTCCAATGATATTTGTTTACTAATGATATTTAGCTTCCTCAGTCACCCTGCCGGGAGCCACAGAATATGTGTGAAAGAGCCGCGTGCAGCTCCCAGGCCACCGTTTGGCCACCCCTGGATTATATAGTCTTAGCACACATCTGAGAGATTCAGGGGTGTTTGGGTTTTGGCTATCTTATATAGGCCCAGTTATGTGAAACCCACATGAGCATACCAAAACTTTCCAATTTGTCACTTATGATGGTATGATGTGAGTGCTTCCCTGAGCTTAGAAGAAATTTCCCATAGCAGTAAATGTATCAAAGCTGAACTATTAGATCAACTTGTTTGGAGATTTTTCTGGGCATCTTTTCCCCAAGGATGGAACAGTGAATACTTAAGTGAGAAAGTAAAACTTGTACTGTAACGCTCTCTACATGGGGCTGCCTTTGTCTCAAATCCGGAGGCTGCAGCTGGTGCAGAATGCGGCAGCCAGGTTGTTGGTGGGTGCCCCGAAATGGGAACACATCCAACCTGTGCTGCAGGCGCTGCACTGGCTGCCTATAGCATACCGGATTCGGTTCAAAGTGCTGGTGCTTACCTTTAAAGCCCTACATGGCCAGGGTCCGACATACCTGAGGGACCGCCTTTCCCCATATAGCAGTTCCGCAGAGCCTGTAAGACGGAGCTCTTCCGCCAGGCTTTTGAATAGGGGCCGCCGCCGCCACTACCACCACCGCATGTGTGCGGAAGCTGGACTGTCAGGGTAGGCCTACGAGAAATTGGAACAACACGGCATAGGCCGCCCCTCTCCCTTCTGATTTCAACCCCAGACCGCTTCCTGGCATGTAACGGAGAAAATGTATTTTAGTCCTCCATGTATCTTGTAAGTTGTAATTTATGCTGTTTTTAATGTATTTGGGTTTATAGCACGTGCCTTGTAAGCCGCCCTGAGCCTGCGTGCGGGGAGGGCGGGGTAGAAATGGAATTAAATAAATAAAATAAATAATGTTTTGCAAATTTGAAAACTAAAGCAAATTTTCAGGCTCACGTTTGTTCAATTAATACCTCTTAACAGTCAAGGGTCTGGGACAGTCTGGAATTCAGAGTGCTTCTCCAGCAGGCCACTCTGAGAAGTAACTAACATCCTTTTATTGACAGGGTTTATAAGAAGTAGCAGTTGTCTGCAATATTACGGATAGATACGGGGGGCTATTATATTTCAGCTTGTGTATAGTCCTTCAAGGAGCTGCGGTGGCTCAAGTGGTTAAGATGCTGAACTGCAGGCTGTGGAAGGTCAGTAGTTCAGCAGTTCGAGACCCAGGTGCCGCATGATGGAGTGAGCTCCCATCGCTAGTTCCAGCTCCTGCCGACCTAGCAGTTTGAAAGCAAGAAATTGCAAGTAGATAAATAGGTACCACTTCGGCAGGAAGGTAACAGCGTTCCGTGCGCCGTGGTGTTTAGTCATGCCGGCCACATGACCATGGAAACGTCTTCGGACAGCGCTGGCTCTTCGGCTTTGAAACGGAGATGAGCACCGCAACCCTAGAGTCGGATTCGACTGGCTTTTGAGCAAGGAAACCTTTACCTTTACCTATAGTCCTTCATTAAAAACGATGAACATTTCTATGCCGGAGTTAACAGTATAGTCTCTGATTTTTCTTAGCTAACTCCTGTGACCTACAAGTACTTTCTGGCCAACAGAAATGGAGAAGATGCATCTGCACTGAAAGAGGAATTCACCAAAAAGCTTCTCAAACTTGAGGAGGTGAGAACTGGAATCCCTAATCCCTTCCAGGGAAATGATAAAAGTATTCTCTCATTCAGTAGAGAGGCTTCCCTGATTTGTGATTGTGTCAATGACACATTGGGTGTATTGAAAAAATATTGTTACCTTTCTGTCTGGAGGAGTTCAGAGGACTTAAATAGGAAGAGGACGTGGCCCAGTGGTAGAACATATGCTTTGCATAAAAGTTCTTGGGTTCAGTTCCACGTTAAAAGGGTTGGGCAGCAAATGATGTGAAAGACCTCTGACTAGGAAGCCACTGCCAGTCAGAGTAAACAGTACTGTCCTTGATAGAGCAGTGTCTGACCTCATATAAAGCAGTTTCATGTGTCCAAGCTTACAACCCATAAAAGCAAAACCAGTACAAACAAATCTAAACTTGCTTATTTTAAGAGAAGGGTGATCCACCAATTTTAGAGAAATGCAAGTTTCATATTCTGATCCTTACATTAGGCTGGGTATTGTTGGCCATTCCATGTAACTGGTATTGAGTCACTTGTGTCTTATTTGCTGCTGTCCACTAGAGGGAGGCACATTTACACTTTGTGTATATCTGTCTAACTGTCAGACACCTGGGAGCCTTGTTTTTTCCCCTTAAAACCTAGGTTTGTCCACAATGATACTATAATTCCAGTTGAGGATAAGATATTCCAGGTTTCAATAGTTGGTTTATGCATGCTTGAGACTGAAGAAAAAATGTATTTGAGAATAGCTATGTGGCCCTGGTGGTGTTTTTTTAGTTCATAGATGCGAACTTTTTACAGGGGAGAAAGAACCACAGAACAGAAAATTAATTTTTAAAACCTTTACAGTTCATGAAATAGTAGGGCAGTGAAGCATACATTGCATCTTGGGAGTAAGGGGGTGAGATGAGAGTATCTGGGACTGAATATTGGGTAGAAGTAGATAGGCACAGAGTGGCTTTTTCCATGTCAGTCTTGATATCAGAAATTAAAATTAACATGCTGGGAGGTGTGTGGAAGCAGAGGTGCAATGTGAGCATCCTAGATCTCTGCTTAACCCCACTGGATGTGCAATCTGCCAGATACAAACACAGCTTGAAAGCATCACACAGGCCCTACAGTGTGGGATTAGAGGTGCTTGCTGCGCTTTCCCATATCAGTTTCTGCAGGCTTTCATAGTGTGCTTCTGTTAATCTTGTTTCTTGATGTCTAATGTCTTTGACCCTTTAGATTCTAGCCAACCACAAGACGAAGTTCTTTGGTGGGAACTCTGTCTCCATGATTGACTATCTTATGTGGCCTTGGTTTGAGCGTCTGGAGGCTTACCATTTACATGAGTAAGTCTTGGGGATTTCTATAGCACTCGGATATTTGGGGAACATTTTTCCATCTAACCACCTCCCACCAGTCCCTGACAATTACTTCCAGTTAACTGTGAGAGCTACTGACAGGAGAGGCCTGCTTCTGCTTGTCCCGCCTTTCCTACTTGTAATCTTTAAATTAGGGGGATGAATGCATGTAGGGGATGGGGCAGTTGCCTTTCCAGTTGTTCAAATGTCTCCCAAGGAAAAGAATGATTAGGATGTTAGACAGATGGACATACCTAAAGGGTGGGGGTAGTCATTTCTCTTGAATTTAGCAGCAAATTATTTAATTGGGACAAAGACCGTGGGATTCTCAGCTATTACAGATATTAAAGTAGCATGGTTAGAAAACTACTTTTAGGACTTGTGACTTCTGTGGTGAATAAGTCACCCTTTTCTTACCTTGGGCACTGAATAAGTACATTATGCATATGGTGCTCTTTACGTTCCATTGCCTTTTCTCCACATCAGACATTTTTCATCTGTACTTGTATGCCTGAACTAGACTTCAAATCCAGCTCATTCATTTGGGATCAACAGTTCACTTGTTGGAATTACACACTTGTAGAACCACCTCCACTTCAGCGGGCTTTTCCCACTGCTGAGCAGAAGGCGGCTATGGTGAATTGAATGCCCCATGCTAGAGATGGGTCTGTTAATGGCTATTAGCCATGATAGCTGAATAGAACCTCCTTGATCAGCCAGATGCGCTTTTGAGTATACTGTAGATAAGCAGGGGTAATCTTCTGGTGTAACCTTAACATTTTTAAATTGCCATCTTACATAGGGATCTAAACCCCCCAACACAACTGTGTATAATAGTATAGAAAATAACCTCTGTTGGATCAAGAATGTACAATCACACTGTATAGTGGTTATATGAATACAATCACAAAGACATCAATTTCATATGTCCATATCAAGTACAAACACCATTATCCATATACATCAAAGTCCAATGGATGAAACAGGCAAAGCTTGCAGGTGCAAGTTCCACAATAGATGATTTCAAAGTAGAATCAGGAATTTATGAAGCATTTCCTTCCAGCGAGCATGCTAGCTAATTAGTTGTCTCGTTTCACATCACAGTTTTTTCAAAGAAAGATCCACAATCCATTATTCCATTCCATGGAATTCCATCACACAGCAAATTTATGGAGAGTTCTCTTCTGAGATTGTTATAGAGAACCATGGAATGTAGATCTTTCTTTGAAAAAGCTGTGATGTGAAATGAGACAACTAGTTAGCTAGCATGCTCATTAGAAGGAAATGCTTCATGAATTCCTGATTCTACGTTGAAATCATCTATTGTGGAACTTGCATCAGGACAAGCTTTGCCTGTTTCATCCATTGGACTTTGATGTATATGGATAATGGCGTTTGCACCTGATATGGACGTATGAAATTGATGTCTTTGTGATTGTATTAACATATAACCACTATACAGTGGGATTGTACATTCTTGATTCAACAGAGGTTATTTTCTATACTATTATGTGTTGGTTTTTTTAAAATTCCTGTACTGTGTAAGTACCAGTTTGTTTGAGTATCTTACATAGGGAGGCAAAATCTCACTTCCTCTCCTCTTCTGCTGGTCCTGTTCCCCCTTTGTTGCTTCAGCTCTACTCCCCTACTGCCATCTATCATGTTTTGGGTGGTCCCCCCCCCCCCGGCTTTTTGTTCCATCTTTCCTCCCTTCCTCACTTAGAATCATAGAATGTTAGAGTTGGAAGGGACCTTGCAGGCCATCTAGTACAACCCCCTACACTCTGCAGGAGCATAGCTGAAAGATAGCCCTACAACATACCCGAAAGATGGTCGTTCAGCCTCTGCTTGAAAATGTCCAGCGAAGGAGCATCCACCACCTCCCGAGGCAGTCTGTTCCCTGCATTGTTCATCCACCTACCACCACCACCCCCGCCACCCATTCACCTTTGCAGTCCTGTCCCACATGGCAAAGGAGGTGGAAAAGCAGGCCTGTGGTGGAGATAAGTCTCCCTGTCGCCTGCTTGAGGTGGCCATTTTTCTTCATGTGTCGCTATTTCTGTTTTTTTAAACATTTGGTATCTTCTACAGAGATGGAGTTTGCCCAAGGTTTTCAGAAATACATACCTTAGAAGATGGTTCTTCTCCTTGTTAGTTTTTTGGACTTCACAGTGGGGCAACCCATTCCTATTAGATAATATGTTGTAGAAATATCAAACAATAAATGTGACTGGTAACATGGTGTATAAACCTGGATTAGGTGGATCATAGTCTAATTCAGCAGGATGGTTCTTGAGTCAATGTGGGAAGCCAGTCAATTCAGCCCTGGGCTGGTCTCTGTTAGTGATGTGGGCTGTGGAAACCCTGTGATATGAACTGCTGCAATTAGAAGGGCTGAAGTGACAATCTGACCTCTCAGTGTTCATGCTCAATCTCTTCTTTAGGGCACAATGCACATGGGGGGGGGGAATCTCCCCTTCCCACAACAGAGATCTAAGACATCTGAGAGTTGTGGGTTTCACAGTTAGTCTTTTTGTTTCTCCACAGCTGTCTGAACCATACCCCAACACTAAAGCACTGGGTGGAATCCATGCAGCTGGATCCTGCTGTTAAAGCTACGATAACAGATCCGCAGACATACAAAGGTTATTTGGAGCTGTATGTGAAGAACAGCCCTGAGGCCTGTGATTACAGGGTCTGAGTTGGTGGGAGCTTTCGGTGTATGGCATTGTGTATTACCTGCTAATTGCTCAAGTGCACAGGGTTAGGACCTGAATTAGATTGTGAAGCTTGTAAGATGATTCTGTGCTTGTTGTACAATTGGGATATATGGCTGTACTGAAATGACAGGCCCGCCTGCGTAAAGGCCTTTTTCTCAAAAGAAAGATGCATAAAGCTGGGGTGCGAGGAAGGTTTGGGGAGTTGGTTGTTTCTGAGTGCCCAGTAATGAGTTGCTTTTGTAACTTTGTCTGATTCCTGTTGTGTTTTTCAGTTTAGGGTAGTCTCCCTAAACTGTACAGATGAGTACTTTACAGGAATAAACACACTTCAAATGCAGAAACTTCCTGTTTCCTTTTCTGTGTAGCAGCAACAGCAAGCAGAGTTACACAAGTGGGGATGTGTGCAATCAAGCTTAGCCTGTTTGCGCCGAACGGTTACAAATGCTGTGCTGTTGAGTACCCACTCAGTTTAGCTTTTTCTTCTCAAACTAAGAAGGAAATATATTGAACTGCAGATGCAAACACTCACTTCTCTGTCACTTTCCATCACCTTATTCTGGTTACTCAGCAACCCTAAAATAGCAAACTAATAGCTACGATTAGAAAAGGGAACTTGTGACTGTTTTACATCATGCAGGGAAATAATTCAAACCTCATTTTTTAAAAAAACCCACTTTTCAGCCTGGCAGAGGTTCAACTCTAGACTATCTTTTAGAACTGGGTGTATATGCGGTAGCTATAGATCTTCCAAGTGCCCTATGTATAATTTTTTACACTTGCATTTACAGCCAATATATTTGTACATAACACAGCTTGCTTCCATTGGTAGGCTTTAGCTGCAAGTACACCCTTTAAAGTGTGTCTTCTGAGCTGCCATTGAAGAGGATGATGCATATTCCTTGGGGACAGTATCAAATGGAACAGCATTGGGATTCCAGAATCAGAACTATACATATGAGAACAGGATTTCATTTTATTTATTAGTTACAAGCTGAAGTCTTCAAGGTCAAATGTGACTTGTAAGCAGTTTCCATTGTGCTCCTAGAATACTTTGCTAGTTCTTCAGTGTACTAGGATAAACTTCTGCAACAGCAACAAACAGAGAAGATACTACTTGGTAATTTACGACTAAGTACCAGCCATCATTCTATTTCAGTTTCAGCCGAATGCAGTGGCTACAAGAGAAGGGGGAGACAACGGGGAATGGATCCATTCTTCTGTGTCTCTTTCGTCTCCAGTTGGATCAGTGTGGGAAATGCACAATACTGAGCTTGCTTAAACTTAATCATCTTTGCCTGTTCCAATCATAGTAATGGGACGTTACAAGATCATGAATATTTTTTAATCACATAATTTCTCTGCCACTAGCAAATAACAACTGAAGCATAAGTCATGTAGTTATCGTGGACCAGTGCACACAAAACAGCCTTTGGGGGTGGTGCAAGCCGCCTTGGGTCCCCCGCTGGAGAGAAAGACATAAGAACATAAGAACATAAGAGACGCCAATGTTGGATCAGGCCAAAGGCCCATCCAGTCCAACACTCTGTGTCACACAGTGGCCAGAAATACCAGTGCCATCAGGAGGTCCAGCAGTGGGGCCAGGACATTAGAAGCCCTCCCACTGTTGACCCCCCCCAAGCACCAAGAAGACAGAGCATCACTTGCCCCAGAGCCCCTAGCTATACCTTGTGGCTAATAGCCACTGATGGACCTCTGCTCCATATGCTTATCTAATTCCCTTTTGAAGCCATCCATGCTTGTAGCACCCACCACTTCCTGTGGCAGTGAATTCCAAGTGTTAATCACTCTTTGGGTGAAGAAGTACTTCCTTTTATCCGTTCTAACCCGACCGCTCTGCAGTTTCATGGAGTGCCCACGAGTTCTTGTATTGTGAGAAAGGGAGAAAAGTACCTCTTTCTTTACCTGCTCTTTCCCATGCATAATCTTATAAACCTCGATCATGTCACCCCTCAGTCGTCTTTTCTCCAAGCTAAAGAGCCCTAAGCGCTTTAACCTTTCCTCATAGGGAAAGTGTTCCAACCCTTTTATCATTCGAGTTGCCCTTTTCTGCACTTTTTCCAAAGCTATAATATCCTTTTTAAGGTGTGGTGACCAGAACTGCACACAGTATTCCAAATGAGGTCTCACCATTGATTTATATAGGGGCATTATTATATTGGCTGATCTGTTTTCAATACCCTTCCTAATAATCCCCAGCATAGCATTGGCCTTCTTTATTGCAGTCACACACTGTCTCGACATTTTCAGTGAGTTATCCACTACAACTCCAAGATCTCTCTCTTGCTCAGTCTCTGCCAGTTCAGACCCCATCAATGTGTATTTATATTTAGGATTTTTGGCTCCAATGTGCATCACCTTGCACTTGGCCACATTGAACCCCATTTGCCATGTTGACGCCCACTCGCCCATCCTTGACAGATCCCCTTGGAGTGCCTCACAATCCTCACTGGTTTTCACCACCCTGAACAACTTTGTATCATCCGCAAATTTAGCCACTTCACTGCTTACTCCCATCTCCAAATCATTAATGAACAAGTTAAAAAGCAGTGGACCAAGTACTGATCCCTGCGGTACCCCACTGCTTACCACCCTCCACTGAGAAAATTGCCCACCTACACTCACTCTCTGTTTTCTATGAACTAGCCAGTTTTTGATCCATAAAAGGACTTGTCCTTCTATCCCATGATTTTTGAGCTTACTTAGGAGCCTTTGATGAGGAACTTTATCAAAAGCTTTCTGGAAGTCAAGGTAAATAATATCTATTGGATCCCCCTTGTCCACATGTTTGTTCACCCCCTCAAAGAACACTAACAGGTTAGTGAGACAAGATCTTCCCTTACAGAAACCGTGCTGAGTCTGCCTCAATAGGTTTTGTTCATCTATGTGCCTACTAATTCTTTCCTTAATAATGGTTTCCACCAATTTACCCGGTATCGACGTCAGACTGACTGGCCTGTAATTTCCCGGATCTCCTCTGGAACCCTTTTTAAAGATGGGAGTGACATTAGCTACCTTCCAATCCTCAGGAATGGAGGCAGATTTTAAGGAAAGATTACATATCTTTGTCAGGAGATCTACAAGTTCACATTTGAGTTCTTTCAGAACTCTCGGATGTATGCCATCTGGGCCTGGTGATTTTTCAGTTTTTAAGTTGTCTATCAGTTTTAGGACCTCCTCTCTCATCACCTCAATCTGACTCAGGTCTTCCAACACCCCTCCTGAAATCAGTGGTTCTGGAGTGGGCAAGCACTTCTCATCTTCCACAGTGAAGACGGAGGCAAAAAATGCATTTAGCTTCTCAGCCATTTCCCTATCATCCTTCAATACTCCTTTTACCCCTTGGTCGTCCAAGGGCCCCACTGCCTCCCTGGCTGGTTTCCTGTTTCTAATGTATTTGAAGAAAGTTTTATTGTTGGTTTTTACGTTTTTTGCTATATGCTCCTCATATTCCCTTTTTGCCTGCCTGACCTCAGACTTGCATTTTATTTGCCATAGCCTGTGTTCCGTTTTATCAGCCTCACTGTGACTAGCTTTCCACTGCTTAAAGGAATTCTTTTTACTTTTTACAGCCTCCATTACTCTGTTTGTTAACCATGCAGGCTTTTTCCTATACCTGTTTGTGCCTTTCCTAACCTGCGGAATATATATTTTTTGAGCTTCTAGGATCGTAGTTTTAAATAGATCCCAAGCTTCCCCAATTGTTTTGACCCTTTCTACTTTTCCTTTCAGTTTCCTCCCCACGTGTCCCCTCATATCAGAGAAATTACCCCTTTTAAAGTTAAAAATGGTTGTGTGAGTCTTTTTGGCCAATTCTCTATTTGTACAAATGATGAACTCAACAACATTATGATCACTGTTTCCAAGCGGTGCAATCACTTTTACATCTCTCACCAGGTCTTGAGTGTTACTTAGGACTAAATCAAGGATCGCCTCTCCCCTGGTAGGTTCCGTGACCATCTGCTCCATAGCACAGTCATTTAGAGTGTCTAGAAACTCAATCTCTTTTTCCCGGCTAGAACACATATTGACCCAATCAATGTGTGGGTAGTTAAAATCACCTATTATTACACAGTGTTACAAAGACAGGCTACAAAGGAAGTAAACTAAATAAAACAAATTCAGAATACAGCAAAAAGAATGCTGCTTTTGCTCTTCCTGAATGGCAAAATGTACAGACAAGTGCTGGTAGTCTGTCAGATGTCTGAAAAGTATTGTATGTGGCTCAGAAGGAGGGTTAACACTTGTTATACACGTCTGTCTGCCCACACCCTTTCTCCTCACAATTCTGATTTGGCTGTCATGCTTGGGCCAGAGTCCTGATTAGGGACTCCAGAAGTGGTGGTTTCTTGCTTGGATCACCTCAGTTTGGTTGTCCTTAAGGGTATCACCAGGTGGTCTTCCTCACTTATAAGTGGAAGTGACAGGTGGACAGTTAATGGAAATCATCAGTGCTTCTAGAGAGAGGGAGAGTAGATTGCTGCCCTCTTTTACAGAGGTGGTAATTAAGCTCCTCCTTCAGAAACCATGGTATTTTCTCCATTTATGGAGAAAATGTGTGGTGGCAGACCTGCATCCTTCCTTGGCCCCCTTTAATCTGGTTTCTGATCTGGTTATGGGCCTCCAGCAGCTTTAGAGCCCATGAAGGCCAATCAACTGGAGATAGCAGAAGTAATGCATCTCTGTTGATTCTCTTACACCTCTCAGTAGCTTTTGACAATGGATTTCAAGATGCTGTTACTACTCATCCCATAGGAATACAAGCATCCACTCTTGAAACATTATGCCTTCATAATGAAACATTACTTGAGGTGAGTTATTGATGCTACTGCTTCTTGGGTATTGTCATGTGGTGCTTGCAAGAGGTCTGATCTATCACTGTTGTTTGATATCAGTATGAAACCACTGGGAGAGTTTTGCTGGAACTTTGAGTTTGGACCTCATTTGTAATGTTGATAATGCTCTATATTTCATTAATACAGAGCTGAAGGACAGCACAACTAGTGTGGAGGTCTGCCTCTCCTGGAAGAGAAGCATGGCAGCCTCTAAAGCCTGCTCACCATATCTCTTCCTGTCTCTTCATCAAAGGTAGTCTGTCTGAATCAGAAAATGGGGTCCTGTTTGTCATCATCTTCTTAAATAAACATACTTGGGAGTGTGGGGAATACATAATTCCCAGCATGTCATCTGCTCTGGCTCTAAAAGCAATTATGCAAGATGCAAGCAAAGCCACGCACGTATTCTGGCTGGCATGTAATTGTAATTTATTATATTACGGTCCATGACCAGATCATTCTGACTG